CACACACACACACACACACACACACACACACACACACACATACATACATACTAAAGGATTGTGGTTTAGGATTATCTGCTAAAGGTCCCCATGCTTGCCCCTGGTAAATAAACCTCCCTTCTTACTTTCAATTTCCCTTTGAGGGGTTTGTTTGAACCCATGTAAAAAAGAAGGTGTGGAGATGTGGGATTATTTGAAGAAATGAAAGATGGAATAACAGTAGGCTAAAATAAGGAAAAATAATTTTTCGAGGTGTCGATAGGTGTAGATGGGTTTATGAATGGGTTGGCGGCCTTTGGCCTTATGACCGCGTAGGAACTGGGTTTGTGGTGATCCTCCGGTTATGCATCCTCCCTTTTGTGTAGAGAACCCCCCATCCTGCCCCCGCGGAGGGTTTTAGAGGACCCCTGGGCCCTCCAACGGTGTGAAGCAGTAGTCCGACGGTTTTTGCGGCATCCGTCGTTTGATATAAGCAACTCCGATGCCTGCGTTCCTCCTCTTTGTGGTGGTCGTGATCTGGCCTTCGGAGAGGGATCTCGTACTCACTCCGTTTGCGCACGTACTGTGTGCTTCTGGGTTGGTCCGTTGTAGGGTCAAACCCCGGTAGACTTTCGAGCCTTAGTCGACCCCACTGCGGGTCCCAGTTGGCTCGGCCCGCCCACACTCATGCTCAGGGCGCGGGCCATTCGTCCCAAGGTCACCCCCACCTAGTGCTTTGAGATGGATGGGGGTGGGCCATCGCGCGAGAGAGCTTTGACATTGGGGATGTAGCTCAGCCCTCACGCCGGGTGGTAGTCTCGCTGGTCGCAACGCTGATTTTTTTTTATTCTATGTCGTGTTCTCATACAATTGCTCCTTCCAATACGCATGCAGTCCAAGGGTTCTTTGAGTACTTCTCTTCTCTTGTGCGTAGGCTAAGCGTCATCCTTAGGCCACGCACCATTTCCCTAAGCATTGTGGCTATATGACATCATTGGGGTGCGGCGGAGCCGTCCTTCCCCTCGCCTCTACACATCCATCGAGTCTCACAAATTGCTTTCTCCTTTGTTGAAGTGGGCCCCTTAGTCTTTTCGGGGTCCTCATATGCATGCACACACAACGCCACATTTTCCTTGGTACGGTTGCATTCTCATTTACACTCCAAGTCCTCAAGCGCAAAAGTCATTTTCATGGGTTGGCTCTATGTCAAGGGTCCCATAGCCCCTCAGCCCCTCTTCCCTTCCCCTCTTGGTGCCCGGTTCCTCTTGCCCTTATCCCGCTCAAGGCATTTCTAGTCATTACTCACCTGCACAATCTCACACAAGCAAGAAGATTCATACAATGTCCCCCGTTGGGGGTCAACACATAGCCCTTCTCACATGCCTATCCTTTTCATGCTCTTTGGTTGTGCTTTGTTCCCTTTTTGTTGTTCAATCAGCCCATCCTCTTCTCATAGTCATGCAGTCGGGGAAATGG